GTGCTCTTCCGATCTCCCCAAAACCCCAAAACCCCAAAACCCCAAGGAATTAAGTAAAGCAATTTTTTAAATATTGTATATTTGTAGTAAAAATATAGGTGAAATCAATGAGTCAGCATCATTATATGCTTAAGACTTTTGTTTTTCATTGAATTTGTCATCTTCATCTGATGTTTCATATTTGCCTGGTCAATGAATTTATCATTACCTCTGTTTTAAAGCTTTGTGGTACGCTGATTAAAGGAACCTTGAGACATATTGATGATTGATCTGGCCACTGATGAACTACCTCCTTTGACAGAGGATCGATAAGATAGTGCTTCACCTTTTCTATAAGCTCTGGAAGCTTTTAGTTCTTATAATCTTTCAAGAGACATTCTAGAAGAACGACTCTTCGTTTCAATATCAGATTAGTTCATTGTTCTTAAAAATTAGCTCTAAGGATTTTAATTAAAACTTGCTCTCATTAAGTTTTGATTATAATCTACACTAGGTGACTAAGTATTTTATTTATAATCAACTGTTCTCAAATGAACTGGGTTAGGATAATTGATATTATTTTGATTGGCAAACTGAGAGTATGTTTCATCATCATTATTTTCAATGGTTCTCATCTTGGACTATGATTAGTGCTGCTGATTTGAATCTTGATGTAAATGACTTTCTCTAAATATTTCATTTACTTTAAGTAGCTTGCCTCCATACCTAAAGGACCATATTTTTGCATCTGGGTCGAATACTTTTCCCTTGAATTTGGCGTCTTAAATCTTTTTTACTTTAATTGTGCTTAGATTTCTCTAATTCAATTATGCTTCAATGAATCTCTTTGCTTTTCTAGTACCCTAATTCTAGTATTTTTATGCAGTATAGTTGCTACGGTTATCATCGTAATCTTAAATAGTCCTAAGATTACTAGTGCTGTACTAATTATAATCCTTTTGGTTATTAAAAAGCAGATCAGATGTCTCTTTTCCTCTCACAAGATTTGTAGATGCTGGTCTATAACCATAATTGGGTTCAGATCTTAGAACTCCCTTGATTGCTGGTTGTTAATTCATGAGCTATTACAAATCTAAGACTCCCCTTAGTTGACCTAAATCTCTCATTGAGTTAGGATTGCTTGCTTGAACATAAGAAGAATTTACTAAGAAGTAATTTTTACCAGGGATTTGGTTCTAGCCATTATTCAAACTAATATTATAAGTCTAAGATTACGCAAGCCAAAGATTATCTAATACTTACTTCGTTTGACTTGCTAGTTTAATGCCATTTTATAAAGTAGAAAAAGAAGTAGTAGCTTATAATTATGGTCTTATAGTCTGAGATGGGACAACAACCTTTCCACAATTCTATTCAATTTCAGAAATGTTATCAATCAAGACATTCTCAAAGCTAAGGAATGGTATTTAGGGAATATGATGCTTACTTCATTTTCTAGACTAGTTCTTTGTTTACTCTCTATTGCCAGAATTTATGTTCAAAGTTGTATGATAAATCTTGGACTGTAGCCATTAAAATAAATAAAAATGATAGATAAATTATTTTAAGGAAATTAATTATTTAAAAAAACAGGATCATATTTCATCTTCGATTTAAATAACTACTTCAACACTAACTAATTTCTAACTTCGTTTATTTATATACAACTATAGGTGATATTGAACTTGAAGTCTTATATCTCAAGAAGCTAAATCTTGCATGTTATAGCCATCATTGTCTTTATCAAATATTTCTCTCATTTCTGCCAGTTTGGTTTGGTTGTAGACCTTATACCATTTGGCCAGATCTTTCTTTGCAAACTGACCCTCTTCTCCTACCCATAATCTTTTCTTTTCAGCCAGCGACTTTATAGCTTTATTATTCTTAAGTAGTACTTTATCAATCAGAGCTTGTCTTCTAAGATAATATTCCTAGTCCTCTTTATTCCCAACTCTAATCTTTTTGGCTTCTTTTTTATACTTTTCAATCAAAAGTGCTTCTATTTCATCATTCGGCTTGAAATTCTTTTATTCTTATTTCTCCTTAACCTATTTCTTAAGAACTTCTCTGACAATATTTTGATTTTTCAACTTCTCTCTCATTAACTCCTTCTCCTTATAAGCCCTCATATCATCTTCATTGAGATCCTTCTTTTTCACAACTACCTGTCTTTCATCAGTACGATCAGGCTTGACAATTTTCCCATTTTTAGATACGAACTCTCCTTTCTTAAGTGAATCAGCATTTACATCCTTTCTGTAATCGTCATAATTAGAAATGAAATTGCTTCTTTTGTTTATCTCCTTCAGTTTTTCCATTTTCATATCAGACAACTGACTATCTTAAGAGTCCCTCCTCTTTTTATTTCGCTTTTTCTGTTTCTTAGATTCCCTTGACTCCTCAGAATCATAATCCTCATCCTTTTCATTGTCTGAGAGCTATTGATATACTTTCATTTCTCTTTACCTCAGCTCATAAGCATCTGGATTAGGGTCTCTTTCCATCGTTTTTATTAGCTTACGCATTCGCTTATTTTTATCCATAAAGACAATCTTCGATCTCTTTTCTTTTATATTTTTCCATTATGACTCCTCTTTATATCTCATATCATCCTTCTAATTTTTACCTCCATAGCCCAGTCTATATCTTTACTATTCCATAGCATATTACTATAAACTCTCTGGAGAATTTCTAACTTCAACTCTCACCCAAGGATCTTTAACTTGCTTCTTTGTGAGAACGTCGTCTTCACTATCATCATCATTTTGACCACCGAAGAAATTTCTGTCCCCTCTCTCCATTATTGGTTCTAATTTACTTCCACTATGATAGTTTTAATTATTGAGCTTTCCAAACTAAGCTTTCCCTGAAGAGTTTTAAGGTGTTTGAGATTATTTCATTAGTCGCTCATGCAATTTTTACTCCTTATAAGGTAAGTCATAGTCTGGCTGAATTTTGTTTTACTATATTGTTTTTATAACTCCTTAATTATCACTAGTAAAGTCACCGAGATATTTAGGTTTAAAGATATTTTCAATGAATTAGCCTCTATTCCCACTCTCTAAAAAGTTGACAAGGTTTTTAGCTGCTGTTCTATAGCCATTTCTTGCGTATATTTCTTTATCAGAGGCATCTATTTAAGGCTTTATTAAGACGACGTTCTCATCAAACACTCTTCCTTACTTAACTTATTCAACTTTATTGCTTTATTAGTTATTATTAAGAATGCTTGGATTATTGGATTTTACCATATGCGATTAGGTTCTGTTATGCTTTTAATTTGTAAATTAGGATGCTGAGTCAGATTCTCTGATATCTTAATCATGATCTTCTTCTCTTATAGCATGAGCAGATGGAACATGCAGCTTTTTCAATGCGATTTTAGGTTGACTAGCTTTCAGATGGGTGAAAGATTATGTATTGAAATGACTCACTGAGTCGGAATCAATATGTGGTAGTCTTGTTCCATTTTAATGGCTTTACATTTAAGCTGAGTTTGATTTTTTGTGAAACCCCATTTCAGATTAACTTGATCCATTGACAAAGGATGTATTGCCAAATTAATTGCTAGCGATTCTGTTTAAAGGATATATCGAAGATTACATCAGAGAATTAGGTAGAGGAGGCTTTCCTATGGGTTAGGGAGAAGATGATGAGATCATACTTGTGTTAAAGTTTGATCATTATCCAGCTTAGTATCCCCCTTGTGATATCATGAGCTATTTTTGTAATTCGAACTCCTCTTGCTTCTTTTTTTCTATCAATTCATGGAGTTATTATTCTTTTTGCATTTCTTTGACTTCTTAAAATGCTCTAATCTGGTGATGTCTGTTCAACTCAGCATTTTATATAGACATGAACGTGGCTGTTGATTTTTTCATTTTTGAAATGTCAATTACACCCTTTTGCCTCAGCTAGAATCTGAGACCTTTATCTACTCTATTGTGAAGCTAAAGATCAGGCATATGAACTGGATTCATTCTGTAATCAAACTGTAAATGAGGGTCAGTATCCTTGAATCCTCTTTAAACCTAAGGTTCATTGACGTAAAAAGCATCACCATACTCAACAGCTCCCGCAAGTTGATTTGCTGTCAACAAAGAAGCATAAGCCTGGTCTACTCTATTTATGTTACTTTTAATTTACTCAGGCTTAAGCTCATTAGCTAATCTTTTCTTTATCAGATCTTCCTGCATCTTTAAACCATAGGTCATAAACTGTTCCTTATCAACATTCAGCCTATTAAAAATACCTATTTTTTCCCTTTCACTTCCCTTTTTAATTCTAAAACCCTCTTCTTTTGGATACATTTTCTCCTTATCCTGATCCAAAGGTTAGTTGGAAGTGTTCATATTTTTTCCATCTCTATTTTCAAAATCTATGTCTTCCTGCTTGGATATTGTAGATGTATTTTGGGAACTCGGTAATTTACCAGCTTTTTTTAACTCAAGCCTCATTAAACTTATATAATTTACGCAACCTAAAAATTAATTGAATCAGTACCTTCTATAATTTAATAATAGTGTAAATAAGCAAAAGAAAATTAAGAAGCGAAACTATTGAAAAGAGCAATGGCATAAATTAACAAGCTATTTTATTTACCAGAGCCTCCTCATCCAACTCATAATCAATATATGCCCTTTTCTTTTACCCCTAAGCTACCTTCAAAGTATATAACTCAAAACATTCTTTCATATGCCTATCTTAAGGAGTCATCCTATAGAATTTTGTCATCTTTAAACTTTGACTCTTACGCATTTATGAGAATACAAAAACCTTAGTTCCATTAGATTGGAAATGGCTTAGGAGACCTTGAATTCGATGAGATAGAGAACAATTTGGGAAGAGATTATAATGAAAATCATAAGGCAAGTGTAAATGACTTAATTGACTTTGATGTCAATTAGTTTATATCACTATCAGCGGATTGCATGCTAAAGGTTTGGACTAAGCCTAAAGAAAACAAGGAGGAATTCAGATACTAGAAAGACATGGCTTACTTGATGTCCTAAAAGATAGAGTGCGTCTATTCTTACATAGAAAAATACCCATTTTTAAAAGGAGTTCGAGGCTCTGATGATGTTTTGATAATACTTAAATATGTGAATACAATAGAAGTTATGAAAGTTCATAAAGATTAAAACACAGGTTACATTAACAAACTTGAGCCAATGAGGAACTACTATTCCCCTTATCAAACGAAAATTTAGAATATGATAAGTTTCAAGATTGATAGCCAGATTTAGTTTATTACTCTCTATGAAAATGGAGTCCTTCCTATATATAAGATAGATTAAAATGATCTTACACAGCCAATTGAATAGTTTTTCAAGATTGAATTCCAGTCTTGTACAACAGATGTTCAACTTTTAAGAATCACTGGTAAGTATTCAGTCCAGCTTGTAGTCAGTTTGATAGAAAATGAGTACTTGACTTCAATGAATGTCCTAAATTACAACTGGGAGAATAGAGTATCAAAATATTACTAGATCATCATAGACATCCCACTTAATTCCTCACCCTTTCCTGTTGACAGAATAAAAATCCTTAATGATCACTAGTTTTTAGCAATATCCAGGAGAGATATAGATTTCATAGAGTTTAACTACGGGAGAGATTCTGAGATAGATTATAAATCATATGAAGTTCATACATCCCAAATAGGTGGTGGCTATTATGAATAAGTTCTTTCCTCAGTCTTAGTAAGTCTGCCTCAATACTACTATAATTCAAAAAAACGTCCTTAGTTATTTGAAATATCCAGTGATTAACTAGATAAGTAAGATAAGCCTTAAGTTGCTAAGAGACCATTTGAGGATATAATGAATGAATATGTGGATAATTATCTACATCCTTATACCTTACTTAACGTAGGATTTGATAGAAGGCTGACCCTTGTTAAAATCAATGATAAAAGCAGACTTAAGAGTTGTAAGATCAAAGTGTTCAAGTAGACATCACATTATTACTAGGTTAATAGTGTGCTTTAGCTAACAGAAAATCTATTTATTTGTGCCAGCTAAGATGGACGTCTGACGCTTCATGAATTAAAGCAATAATGAAATTCTAATGAACTTATAATAATTGTAAATTAATCTTGATTTAATAACTTCAATTACTCATCCTCAAAGGGGGGTTTTGGGGTTTTGGGG